CCTTATTTTTTTCCCGGGAAACAAGTTTTATATATTTTTAAAAATAAAATTTTATATATATAATATATATATTATTATATTTTATTATATATTATTATTATATCATATATATAATAATATTTATTAATCGGTGATAACAGTAAACAACATGTACCGTATTAAATAAAAATATATATTTATATATTTATTATTTTTACCCTCAGAAAAGAAATTTTAAAAGACCTAGGGAAAACCAAAGGTTTCCCCGAGTTTTTTTGATTTTTTCTTCTCCCTACCTCCCGTATTTTTATTTTCAAAGTAACTTTATTTAAACAGTATCATTGCAGAAAACACAATAAATACATTGGTAAAATAATTGATTAGAACTCCCCTCCCGCTCCCCCCTAAACTGGACGTGGCCCAGTACACGAGGGCTTTCCCCCTGGATGGGCCCGCGAGGCGCTGGAACGAAAGTGGGTGCCCTTTGGGGCCCGGTGGTGTCGATGGTCTGGAACCCGTTTTTTAGGAAACGTGTGGGACTTTTTCCCCCTGATCCAAGCTCTTGTCCCCTGGGACAAATGATGTGTTTGGTTATGTCCCCGTACTTCTGATCTTTTTACTCTTTTTGTGGGCAGCGCTCCTCCCTTTTCGCCCGCACGTGTGAATGCAGGGGTTTCCCCGCGTCGAAAAAGCATAGTTTTTATGCTAAGAGCTTTCCATTCTTCCAAGGAAGATTGTGATCCTGTGGGGCGGTTTGTGGGTTATGGTATTGTTGGTGCAGGGTCAGGGGTCTCTCTCGGCTGGGATCCAGCTGGCAAGGGTTCTCTTTATATGTCGTTGACTTATTGTGTCTTGCATACCGACTTGGTTTTGGGAACCTTTAAGACCCTGTGACCCCCATTGGTCGGCTTTCGATTTCCCCAAATACAGTTTATTCCGGTGATTTTAGGGAGCAAGGCTCAGACCAGCAATCGGAGGGTCTTAGGGTCAAGACGGTTCCCCTTGTCGAAATGGGAACTGTTTGGAGAAAGTTCCCAGAGTGAGGGGCACTCACAGCTTGGAGACGGGCAGTCTCCCCGTCTCATGTTATAGCCCTAACCATGTTGGCAAGCACCTTTTCAGCGATAGGACCATCCCAACTTGGCTGTTTATAGGCCAGTGCTGCACTAGGTTTTGGTGCTTGAGAAGCAAGAGTCTCCTATTCAGTGATGGCACTGGCTTAGCTAGGGTCTTGTATTCCTGCCGAGTCACTGAGGTTGTCCAGAAGAATTTGTTATATTAACTCGTTCGATGCAGTGGAAGAGGATAGGAAAGCTGGTAGGGCAATCTGGGAGGATTTGCATACTCCCAGCCCCCCAAGCCTGACTGGAAGTGAGGTTTGCAACCCTTGTCCATCTTTGAGGGAAAGATTCAAAACTCTCTCTAGCATGGTCTTGAGGAGAGAGTCATATTCTTTGAGTTTCAGACTGCTGAAGGCTGGGGAGCATCTCAGGAAGTAGGTAAGTTTTGGGATTGACAGCCACCTGGTGAGTAGGTAAAAGGCATCATGTGTATCGAAGTCTTTCATTCTGCCTTCCATCGTCCTGATGTCTGAGATTTTTTTTTCTAGAATCAGATCGATGGCATTGGACCCAAGAGGAGCACCAAGGCTGGATCAATGGCTCGTGCTCCTGATAAAACAGCACTAATATTCTGGATCATCTGTCGATTGGTAGAAACTATTTCACATTTGGTGGGTTTTGAAGATAGGCCCAGGCTCTCTCCCATGCCTTAAATTTTTCTGATGACATCTAGGAGAGATTCTGTAGTGCCAGCTAGGGTACCATCGTCCAAGAATCAGATATTGAGCTCACTGGAGGAGTGCTTCTGTGACTTCCTTGATGACCAGACAGAACAGAAAGGGGGCGAGAGGGTCCCCCTTTTGCACACCCTCACACGAATCAATGTCATGGTCCCCAAACAATAGTTTAGAAGTCGCACTATAACACGATTCCAGGAAGAGGTAGAAACTGCTTGGAGAGCAGCATCCCTTCTGATTAAGTTGAAAGTGTTGGCAAAGTCCAATTTGATCAAAGGTTTTTCATCGGACATCTTGTTGATGTATACTCGTGCTGCGTGGGCAGCTGCTTCACAACTTTGTTGAACACCAAAACCGAGCTGAGTTGGTTTCATAATTATTGCAGCCTCTTGACTCACCATTCTTACTGCAGCTTGGCTACCAGGCGCCGAAGGGTGTTGCCCATTGCAATGGGCTTGATTCCTCCATCCTTTTTCCGGAGGGCACATATTGAGGTACCAAAAAAGGGGTCTAATGGCCTCTGGGACACTGCCAGGGAGGCACACATTGGAAAATTTGGTGAGTTCAGACAGTAACCTCTCTGAATCATCACCAAGTTTTGGGTTGAGCATTTGTTTTAACTGTTGTGGCCTTAAACCGGTGAAACCTCCTGCTGAGCCCTGTGGAAATAACATAGCAGCTTTATACACATCAGCGTCCTGTAAGGTTAAATGTTCTTCACCTGCTGCAATGTCAGGGAGGTTAATGTTGGTACTGGGAGCCCTGGGTGGATGTTTGTCCTTCAGGGTTTGTGCTCTAATGACGTATCCTCACTGGTTACAAGCCTCAGTGCTCCAATAGTATTACCCTCTTCTATTTTTTTTACTAATCTGGGCTCTAACTTTTGAGGTGTCAGGTGTCCTGTTATTGGCATTTGCTGGCGGGTGTTTGTTTCCCTAAGGGGGGAACGGACGATGTTGTTATCTCTAGGGAATACATTTATTTCCCTAATAACAGATGTTGCTAGTGACTTGTCCCTGCTTGGTGGGACAGCCAAACAGGCATTGCCAAATAGCAGCAGATTGTGTCAGGATCATTTGTTTGAAGGAGCATCGTTGACTTTCTTCAAGAGATCAGCGAATTTGCTAGCAGCTTGAGGGCGAGCTGCTTTGGGGATGTGCTTCAGATAGTTGAGGGATTGAGTGCACATTCCCTGTGGCACACCTGGCAGATGCCTCGTGGACGGATTCCATGGAGTTGGCTTTGTCGTGAAGATTCCTGGGAACCCTGCACTTCTTGTGACACTGCTGACATCGTGGGGTGGGAGGGCGCCAGCTGTGGGGTAACAGGTTAAGGACGGCATGGATGCATGGGGGGATGACGGTGGGGGAGTGGCGAGCAGTAGTGCGAGTAATTGGTGGGGCATCAAAAGGCAACATCCTTGGTCAGGAAGTCAGTAGGCCTAGCCCGGGACGAGAGGAGGGGATCAGAGATGGGTGGGCCTATTCATGCCTAATAGGTAAAACTTGTAATTGTGGTTTAAATAGCATGGCACTTCTTGCCGAATAAGGCAAGCAAAAGTTTGTGTATGCAATAATCTCGCAAAAAATCATTCTGAACCTAATGAAAAAAATATATTTCTTTGCTTTTCTTTATTCATAAATTATTTTAAACATAATCTAAAATGTATTTAGCTGGATTAGGCTAAATGAAATTGCGCTTGTTATAATAAGCTTAGGTAAGGATCTTGTGGTACAAAACTATTAATTTTTACATTAACATAAATGAAAAAACTATATCTTTAAGCCTATTAGAAAAAAATTTAGTAATGACTTATTTTTAAATGAGTTCTTCCTAACTGACTAATTTTACCTATTCGGCACGACACACACACAACCCCACACACACACAATATATATATATATATATATATATATATATTATATATATATATATATATATAATATATTATATATATACATTATATATAAAATATATACATATATATTATATATATATACATATATATATATATATATATATATATATATATAATATATATATATATATATATATATATATATATATATATATATATATATATATATATATATGTATGTCTATACCAGGAATCAAGAACATTGTTGTTGTCGATTGAATTCTCAACAAAAAAATATTCAAATATCAGGTACATCTAATATTTACCCCCTGCCATGTAATTTATTACCCCCATGGGGTAAATTTACCCCTGGTTGAGAAACACTTCACTACACAAACACATTAATTAATTCATTAATTTTCACTTAAATGTGAACCTAACAATCCATTTCTTGCCATCAAATCATTAAATAAAATTTTCCCTGATTACATATCTGAGTTTGTTAGAACCAAAGGCTTATTTATTATGTGAGTAATTACCTGCAAGAAGTTTACAGGGTATTGTTACATGTAAGTAATTTGGGTGGGATAAGTGGAATTTAGTCACAGTAAGTCACAGAACTGTCACTCCTTTTGATGCCCACTCCTTCACCACTCTCATAAAAGGTCGACCTGACATAAAATTAATAATTACAATATTAAACATTAATACCAGTAATGGTAACCTATAAAATAATGATGACTGGATATGATTTTAGGACATGATTGTTAGAAATGGTTAATGGGAATATTTTTACAGACTAGTAAAGGTTTTCTCCTAACCATATGACTCACCCCATCCTCCTAACTGTAAGAATCACCATGAATCACCTCACAAAACCTACCTAACAAATAGAATCCTACTGGCCAGTGAGAAATCTTAATGAAAGGACTAAATGCATACTTCCCTGTGTGAGTTATGGTGTGGTCTATTTATTTTCAACTATCCACATGTAATTCTGGAGGTCCCGCATATTTCCTGTTCCAATTCTTCAGTAGGGACATTAATATGGGTTCTTATTACAAATTCGGGCCGAAACACCCCATTATGTCCTTAATGACACCAGACTGATAGACGATTACAACAACCAGTGTACACACATTAAATTAACTATGGCGTCCTGCCCTGTATCACTCCGAGGCCGCTGTACACCCTCCTACACACAAAATTTCTTGAAGGGTCAAATCAGTATCACATTTTAATACACAGTTATTGTTTTATTTATATTTACACATGCTGAATTTAGGAAAACTATAAAAAAAAATCCAAATGAACATTTCTGCAGAGAAATTAATAATCAATACCATCCACCTGCTTTATACTCACCTGAAAAAGTCCTTGGATTATCCGTATGATGATTAGGATGATATAGTTCATGCGAGCAGCCATAGGTGTGAGAACAGCAGAAATTCCACCAGCCAGGATACTTAAGCCAAACACGATGCGCGTCCCATACACCTCCGACAGTCTCCCACCAATGATCTGTGAACAACATTTCTTAGTATTACCTCCTGAGAGGCACTACACAAACGATCTATATTTAAGCAGCAGTAAATACGTAAAGCACACGGACAACATTAGGAATATTTATTAACGAAATATAGCGTCACTAAACATTTCATGTCTTGCAAATCAACATGTCGGTTTTGTATCCCATTTAAAATATAAATACACTATAGACAGACCTGAGTAACACAGTAGCCATAGAAGAAGGCGCCCAAGACAAAGCCCTGAGTCACTTCATCCCAGTCCAGTTCTCCTTCCTGTGTAAAAGTTAACCAAACTAGAACCTAAACCAGACATTCACAACTTGTTTACTAATGTTTTAAAGACAATCTTTTCAGTATTATTCAGAGGGGTGAGGAGACGTTGTTGAGGTGGTTCCGACGATGGAGCGAAATAGAATGACTTGGAGAGCGTATAAATCTGAAGTGAAAGGAAGGTGGGGTAGGGGTCGGCCAGTGGGAGGCTTAAGGAAAGAGGTAATGATGGTTTCGTGTTCGTGTTTGTGTTAGATAGGAGCGAGAGGAGACAAATGGTTTTTATAACTTGGTGTGATGTTGGAGTGTGAGCAAAGTAACATTTATGAAGGGACTCAGGGAAACCGGCAAGCTGGACGTGAGTCCTGCAAAAACATGCATTTTTGGTCACAGTGGTGCCTATGCTAACCTTCTTATGGTGTAGAAACATATCTAGTTGGATGAATCTTATTATAGAAAGCTGGTCCAGTGGCTAACGCGACGGTCTGGAGTTTTGTGACTCTCTGATCACGGGTTCTAACCCCACCCGTGGTATTGTTTACTTGCAATCGTGTCATTACGATTTCGTGAGACAGTAAAGAGCTTTCATGCGAAGAGAGTATGAAGAGAGTGACATTATCTGCTAGTAAAAGTTAGCCTAAATTAGTGATGTGTTTAATATATTTGTAGATGAGACTGTAAAAGTGAACGCCTGGGTATTGGGAGAGGAGTGGGATTCAAAGATTGTGACACGAACCATACCACGGGCGGGATTTGAACTCGCGGTCAGAGAGTCTCAAAACTCCAAACGGTACAGAGAGGGAATTGCTACATTTGCATTTTTACCGATAACACGGTTTTGTGGAGATTTTGAAAAGATGTTACAAAGGTTGGTGAACGAATTTGTGAAGGCATGTAAGAGAAGAAAATTAAGAATGAATGTAAGAAAGGGCAACATGAAAGTATCTATAAATATAGGCAATGAAAGACTGGATATTAGATTGGTGGGAAGGAGTACGGAAAATGTAAATGTGTTTAGATATTTTGGGAATAGACTTGTAGGCGGCAGGTTTTATGAGAGACAAGATGAACCAAAGGCCTAACAAAGGGAGAAGGTGAGTGGTGCTGAGGCACTTGTGAGGACAAAGAACTTTATCAATGGACGTAAAAGAGATATTATACCAGAGGAGAGTGATACCAACACTGTTATCTGGGTGTGAACCATGGGTTTTTTATGTTGCAGCGGGGAGGAATGTGAGGTTATGTGAAGCATGGGTTTTGTATGTTGTAGCGGGGAGGAATGTGAGGTTATGTGAAGCATGGGTTTTGTATGTTGTAGCGGGGAGGAATGTGAGGTTATGTGAAGCATGGGTTTTGTATGTTGTAGCGGGGAGGAATGTGAGGTTATGTGAAGCATGGGTTTTGTATGTTGTAGCGGGGAGGAATGTGAGGTTATGTGAAGCATGGGTTTTGTTATGTTGTAGCGGGGAGGAATGTGGGTTATGTGAAGCATGGGTTTTGTTTTGTTGTAGCGGGGAGGAATGTGAGGTTATGTGAAGCATGGGTTTTGTATGTTGTAGCGGGGAGGAATGTGGGTTATGTGAAGCATGGGTTATGTTTGTTGCAGCGGGGAGGAATGTGGGTTATGTGAAGCATGGGTTTTGTATGTTGTAGCGGGAGGAATGTGAGGTTATGTGAAGCATGGGTTATGTTTGTTGCAGCGGGGAGGAATGTGGGGTTATGTGAAGCATGGGTTATGTTTGTTGTAGCGGGGAGGAATGTGAGGTTATGTGAAGCATGGGTTATGTATGTTGTAGCGGGGAGGAATGTGGGGTTATGTGAAGCATGGGTTATGTTTGTTGTAGCGGGGAGGAATATGTGGGGTTATGTGAAGCATGGGTTATGTTTGTTGTAGCGGGGAGGAATGTGAGGTTATGTGAAGCATGGGTTATGTTTGTTGTAGCGGGAGGAATGTGAGGTTATGTGAACCATGGGTTATGTTTGTTGTAGCGGGGAGGAATGTGAGGTTATGTGAAGCATGGGTTATGTTTGTTGTAGCGGGGAGGAATGTGAGGTTATGTGAAGCATGGGTTATGTTTGTTGTAGCGAGGAGGAATGTGAGGTTATGTGAAGCATGGGTTATGTTTGTTGTAGCGGGGAGGAATGTGAGGTTATGTGAAGCATGGGTTATGTTTGTTGTAGCGGGGAGGAATGTGAGGTTATATGAAGCATGGGTTATGTTTGTTGTAGCGGGGAGGAATGTGAGGTTATGTGAACCATGGGTTATGTTTGTTGTAGCGGGGAGGAATGTGGGTTATGTGAAGCATGGGTTATGTTTGTTGTAGCGGGGAGGAATGTGGGGTTATGTGAAGCATGGGTTATGTTTGTTGTAGCGGGGAGGAATGTGAGGTTACCAAAAGTAATATTCAGAGGGCAGAGGAGGGGTTGCTGATGTGGTTTGGACATTTATAGAGGATGGAAAAAAAAGGTGACTTGGAGGGCATACTAAGTAGGGGCAGAGGAAAGGAGTAGTAGATATCGTCCTAGGAAAGGCTGGGAATAAACGAGATTTTAAGTTCTAGGGGCTTGTACATCCATCAGGCTTATGAGAACATCCTAGATAAGAGTGGAGGTAAGTGATTTTTATTATATGACTTGCTGTAGAAGTGCGAGTATGGAGTTATTTATGGAAGGATTTAGGGAAAGCAGTCAGCAGGGCTGGGGTAGGAAGTACAGTGCCTGCACTCTGAAGGAAGGATGAGGATGTTGTGGCTTGCAGGGGTTTCTGAGCTGTAATGTTGTGGTTTGCAGGGGTTTCTGAGCTGTAATGTTGTGGCTTGCAGGGGTTTCTGAGCCGTAATGTTGTGGTTTGCAGGGGTTTCTGAGCTGTAATGTTGTGGCTTGCAGGGGTTTCTGAGCCGTAATGTTGTGGTTTGCAGGGGTTTCTGAGCTGTAATGTTGTGGCTTGCAGGGGTTTCTGAGCCGTAATGTTGTGGTTTGCAGGGGTTTCTGAGCTGTAATGTTGTGGCTTGCAGGGGTTTCTGAGCCGTAATGTTGTGGTTTGCAGAGGTTTCTGAGCTGTAATGTCACCTGTTCTGGCAAGACAGTGATTGAGTGACAAGTGAAGCAGATTTCACTTTTGTTGGTATCACCTACGTCGGCGGGAGACGATAGGGGTGTTAAAAAATATATTACAAAGTGTACTTACTGCATTTCATACTAAAAACAAAGACTTCATGATGAAATAAATTCTTTAAAAAATCTCTAAATTCATTGTTTTATCTGTGAGGTTCCCAAGCGATTAAAGTGTAGCACCAGAGGAGAAAGATACACCAGTTACTTCGGCTCACCATGACCGAGTCATCCAGCAGCGCCGGGGACCTGGTCATGTTGCCCTCAGCACCTTCGTCTTCATCTTCGCCTATGCTCACACCTTCAAGGTCGCTCGCGTTGGCTGCAAATATACAGCAAACGCTGTGGTACTGCTGAAGTTCGTTATTTAAAGATACAATAGGCAGCACGATTGGGTTGCTGAATATTCATAAGAATTCTCAGCCAATGCTGTGTAGCTCAGCATTCTGGAAGATACAGCAGACTGTGCACGATGCTGTATGACTGGATCTATACGAGAAAGAAAACACTATTTAAAATATATTCTCACAAGTCAGTTCCTCCTCAGTGTCGTTGAAAGATATAAGCAGCTTCCATGTTAATTAATATTCTTTTCGATATTACACACATTTACAGGTTAATAACAGAACAATTCACAGAGAGAAGAATGAGATACATTGGCCATTGGCACGAGTTAATAATAATGTAGAGTGACTGTATGTCAACACTGAAGTTAATAATGTAGAGTGACTGTATGTCAACACTGAAGTTAATAATGTAGAGTGACTGTATGTCAACACTGAAGTTAATAATGTAGAGTGACTGTATGTCTGTGCTGAAGTTAATAATGTAGAGTGACTGTATGTCTGTGCTGAAGTTAATAATGTAGAGTGACTGTATGTCAACACTGAAGTTAATAATGTAGAGTGACTGTATGTCAACACTGAAGTTAATAATGTAGAGTGACTGTATGTCAACACTGAAGTTAATAATGTAGATTGACTGTATGTCTGTGCTGAAGTTAATAATGTAGAGTGACTGTATGTCTGTGCTGAAATACTGAACTTAGACATGGCAGTAGATTATATCAAACATACAAAATATTTTACAATGATATCTAAAAACCGAAGTGTGATACGTTTTGACCTGGCAAGTAAATATTCATAACTCTTGATGGTTAGTGTTGACCTGGCAAGTAAATATTCATGACTCTTGATGGTTAGTGCTGACCTGGCAAGTATCATAACTCTTGATCGTGAGGTTTTGAAAACTCATCCCAGTGGCATTGCTGCAGATGGGCTTCATTTTTTGACGTGAACCTTACGTTCACTGGAGGGTTCATTCCTGATCCAATTGTCCAAACTCTGTGTGTGAGTATAAACACACAACTCGAGGAAGGGAATATCACTCACTCCGTCTGTCTGTCTGTCTGTCTGTCTGTCTGTCCGTGTCTCTCTGTCTCTGTCTGTCTGTGTCTATGTCTGTCTCTCTGTCTGTGTCTGTGTCTGTCTCTCTGTCTGTGTCTGTCTGTCTGTCTGTCTGTCTCTCTGTCTCTGTGTCTGTGCCTGTCTCTGTCTCTCTGCCTCTGTCTGTCTGTCTCTGTCACTGTCTGTCTGTCTGTCTCTGTCTCTGTCTGTCTGTCTGTCTCTGCCTGTCTCTGTTTGTCTCTGTCTGTCTCTGTCTCTGTCTCTCTGTCTGTGTCTGTCTGTGTCTGTCTGTGTCTGTCTCTCTCTGTCTCTGTCTGTCTGTCTGTCTCTTTTACAGAAGAACTTAGCAGAAGCGACCAGATTTTCGCTTAGCAGATTACAATGGGCTTAGAGAACACCTATCATCTGTGGTCTGGGGCATCAAAGAGAACAGTTTTGTAAACTCTATACACGCTGCCCAAAGAAAATTTATTCTGTTTAGAGAAATGAGACCGAATAGAAATGATCCGCAATGAATGAAGAATAAGCTCCAACATCCCTTGGGCAGAAGAAAGGAATTTATAGCTTGTGAAAAGAGGTGAGGGGTGTCTCGTGGAGTAATATACATGCGTTAAGATCGAGGTTAAAATAAAGAGGTAAGAAAAGCTAAACGATACTATGAAATTAATGTGGAAAATTATTCAAAAACTAACCCGAAAGGCTTTTTTTCTGGAATATAGAGCAACGGGGTAGCTGACTGACGAAGAAAATATAATGTTGAAGATTGAGACACTTATGCAACATATGGGAATCGTTATTGAAGAAATGTTTCGCCACACAGTGGCTTCATCAGTCCAATATAGATCAGAAGGGTGTAAGGAGAGGAGGAGTTTGAGGTAATCAGTCCCTCAGAATTCTTTGAAACAAGATCCCATGATGCTTCAGTGTCTGACAGTTGTGATGAATGGTTTGAAAAACCGACAAGTTGAAGATTGAGGGACTGATTACCTCAAACTCCTCCTCTCCTTACACCCTTCTGATTCGTATTGGACTGATGAAGCCACTGTGTGGCGAAACATTTCTTCAATAAAGATTCCCATATGTTGCATAAGTGTCTCAATCTTCAACTTGTCGGTTTTAAAACATTTATCAAACAATGTAATGTGCTCGATTCATAAAAATTATTTCCTCTCTGTTTTCATACAAGACACAAACGATATACCAGTTATTAATTTTTATAATGGGCCTGATGAAAATAAATTATGTAATGTCACAGTCACTAGGGATACGGTAATCAAACAGGTAGACCGATTAAAGCAAAATAAATCCCCGGGTCATGATGAACTTTCTTCAAGGGTTAACTTGTGGAAAATGGAACTTCTTGAACCATTGATCAACATTTTTAGTATAGAGTCTGATATGTGGAAAATGGCTAATGTAATTCCCATTTTAATGCAGGGGATAAGTCACTACCGTCAAATTACCGGCCAATGAGCCTGACCTCAATTGTAGGCAGATTACTAGAGTTAATTATGCTTGTCAAGAAGCCATCGTGATAAGCAGAATTTGTTCTATGACGTTCAGCATGGATTCACGAGAGGCTATTCCTACCTAACTAATTCACTGACTTTCTTCAATAAAGCATTTGAGGTTGTTTATCATGATAAAGAATTTGATATTATTTATTTGAATCTTAGTAAAGCTTTTGATAGAGCACCACACTAAAGACTGTTAAAGAAAGTGGCAGCTCACGGTATTGTGAGAAAAGTGCTGTCACGGATCGAAGCGTGGCTCACCAACAGGAAGCAGAGAGTGTGTATAAACTGGGAAAAATCTGAGTGAGGATCAGCAACAAGTGGCATTTCACAGGGAGTAGTTTTATTCCCATTGTTGTTTATAATATACATTAATGACCATGACCAGGGAATAACTAGTGATATGAGCAAATTCGCTGATGACACAAAAATAGGCAGAATAATTGATTCAAAGGAAGATGTCACTGAACTTCAGGTAGGTTTAGAAAAACTCATGTCGTGGTCAGAAAAAGGGCAGATGCAGTTCTTTATAGATAAATACAGTGTCCAGAAGCTCGGGAATGTACATAATCCTAGCGCTTATAGATTAAATAATGTAGAACTTGGCCATACAGATTGTGAAAAGGACTTAGGGGTTATGGTGAACAACAACAACCTGGAATCTAGAGAGCAATACCTATACTTACGTAATATAGCAAACAGATTACTGGGATTTATATCAAGAAGTAATAAGAGTCCAGAAGTTATACTTCAGCTCTACACATCATTAGTGATGCATTATACAGATAATGCAGCTCAGATTTAGTCTCCCTATTACAGAATGGATATTAATTAGTTAGAAAACATTAAGCGAAGGATCATCTTATGAATCAGTATATTGACATTAAGAAGAACATTAAAAAGGGGATAAGAAAAGCTAAAAGGGACTATGAAATTAAAGTTGCTAGGGATTCTAAAACTAACCCAAAAAATTTTTTCCAGGTCTATAGAACAAAAGTTAGAGATAAGATAGGTCCCCTAAAAATAACTATGGGCACCTTACTGACGAAGAGAATGAAATGTGCTCGATTTTAAATAATTATTTTCTCTCAGTTTTTACACAGGAAGACACTAACAATATTCCAGTAATTAATTTTTATAGTGGGCCAGAAGAAGATAAATTATGCAACATCACAGTCACTAGTGAAATGGTTGTGAAGCAGATAGACAGACTGAAGCAAAATAAGTCACCGGGTCCTGATGAGGTTTTTTCAAGGGTTCTTAAGGAATGCAAAATGGAACTCTGTGAACCATTAACTAATATTTTAATTCATCTCTTCAAACAGGTGTAGTGTCTGATATGTGGAAGATGGCTAATGTAATTCCTATTTTTAAAACAGGGGACAAGTCGTTACCGTCAAATTACCGCCCAATAAGCCTGACCTCAATTGTAGGCAAATTACTAGTCAATTATAGCTGAGATTATAAGAAGCCATCTCGATAAGCATAGCTTGATTAATGATACTCGGCTAATTTATTAACTTTCTTCAGTAAAGCTTTTGAGGCTGTTGATAAAGAATTTGATATTATTTACTTAGATTTTAGTAAGACTTTTGATAGAGTTAGACACCAAAGACTGTTAAAGAAAGTGGCATCTCATGGCATTGGGGAAAAAGTGCTCTCGTGGATCGAGTCATGGCTCACAGACAGTCCTGCTTGCATATTGGTGTTCTGAAATACGTGTTTGGAGGTCTCTTGATGTTTCGCCCACATATAATTTGTTGCAGTCATTACAAGGGATTATGTATACCCCTGCAGAGGATGGAGGCTTGTCCTGTCTACTACTGGTGATGTCCTTGATGGTCGTGGTTGTGGAGGTAGATACTTGGAATGATGTATTGGAAAAGATGTTGGAAACATGTTTGGCAATGGAGTTGGTGGGGAGGACTATGTATCTCTTCTCGGCAGTGTCTTCTCTGGGTGTGTTGAAGATGTTTAATGCCCGCCGTCTGCAGTCTCTGATGAAGTGACGAGGGTAGTGGAGTTTAGAAAATACTTGTTCAATTATAGTGCATTCTTCCTCAAGGAACTCATTGCTGCAGATTCTGAGTGCACGCAGGAAGAAGCCTATAATTACACCACGTTACACACCTTACTATAACTTTTCTTCAAAGGACTCGCCGCATTCTGAGGGGCTCAGAACAAGGGAAGAAACTTCAGCACACCATGCCCAGCAACCCCAGACCTGCCAGAATGTACGGCCTGCCAAAAACTCACAAGCCTGGTATCCCACTGAGGCCCATTTCCTCGGGAATAGGCAGTGCTCCCCACCAGCTCTCAGGAATTCTCGCAAAACACCTCTCTAAACTCTTGGGCACTATCAGTCCAGCACATCTCAAACACTCGGGTGATCTTCTCAATCG